AAGATACAAGAATAAAGATAAATAAATAAATTAGGAAATATTCTAGAGCAACATTAGCACAAAAAGTACAGTGCTAACCAATAACAAAGATAGTAATACCAGAATTATTCTAGAATGAATAACATTTCAAGGGTAAATGCTAGTAAAAATCGGGCAAGGGGTAGTAACGATCTTAGGCGAAAATCAAGTGTAACAGTACTATAAGTACTATGTATATTATGTGTACTAGTTATCCATATTATGTGTATTATATGTACTGGTTTCCATATTATAAATACTATATATATATTACACATATTATATGTACTACAGTAATTATTTTTTTTTAAAAATAATATTAATATTACTAATATTACGGATATTACGCATATTACAGGTATTACACATATTATATATATTACGCATATTACGCATATTATGCATAAAAAATAACATGGCTAAACACATGTGATCTGATGCAGTTCGATTATCTTCAAAAATTATAAGTTTATTATGCAATATCGAGATGAAAAACCTAAATATAACGTTTTAAAGAAGTTAAGAAAAAGATATCCTATGACAAATAACTGATTTTATAAAATTTGGAGAGGGCAAAAAGTTTGTATGGTTGAATAGTATCAACCGATACAGGATACAATGGTAGTTTCAAATCAAAATTTATCTATTGCAGAACAATACCTCGAAGAGCCTACACCTGAATCATGCTTATCAACAAAACTAATGCAATCAAATATTGATCAAGACACTTATACTGATAAAAATGACATGAGTAAAAAAACACAAACTATAAATCATATTAAATGCTCTATAAAAAATTCTATTGTTACTTCTGATTATGGTGCCAAAAATTGGAATCAAATAGAATCGAACAGAATTGCATGAGGTTCGGAACACTATTAAAAATAATGGTGGGGTATACCCCACCTATTAAATTTAATATAAACTTGAGAATCGAATACAGAATCGAAGAGAATCGTTAGGATCCTTACTTCTGATAAACGGATAAAAAAAAATTGAAACCTGAAATTTCTATCTTACCTAAAATAGATAAGATGAGTAACTTATATGCTTTAATTAAGCAAGATCGCAAAGAAATGAAAGAAACAGAACGTGAATCGGAAAGAATTTTAAAAATCAATTAATCTATCTTCGCTTTCTCTATATTGGTATTTCTTTCATTTTAAATATCCAGATTCATTTATATGAGTTCGCAATTTTTTATTGAGTTCAATTAATTTCACCTTGGATTCGAGTACCTCATATAATGATTTTTCCAGTTCCTCATAGCTCATGCGTTTTTTTTTAATGTTGAATCATCAGAATCTAAAGGTAGGGTCTCATTCCCATCTATATCCTGGAAAATTTGATCGGATACCAAAAGCTTATCCTTTTGAGATGCAGTAGCGCAATTTACTTCAAGTTTATTCTTGACTTTATGTATAGTAACTGGAATAATAAAATCTTCTCCATTATAATGAATTTTCATTTTATTGTTACCCCAATCTACAGCACATTTATATTTTTTAAGAAGTGGATTTGGAAATATTAATGTTGGTTTAGGAGCTCGTACAACTACAAAATCTTCACATATAGTAAAACCAGGAGAAAATGTTATTGGGAAATTACGAACAATACCTATAAATTCTGTTGGAACTGTTGCAACACCGCTAAAATCATATTTTTCTGACTTATCAATTGGCCAATTTACACGCTTAACAATGTCTTCTGATGTAATTGGAGGTTCAGTGCCACTATCTAGTACCAATGCCAGAATTTTTAAGCATTTGATTTTAACTGGTATAGTTGCAATACTAATTACCGGTTCTTTCCGACAGACAAAATCAATCTCCATAGGATCGTTTAGCATCTCCTCTTCGTCATCTGAATCTGGTATTTCTGAAATTGGTTCTCAATAATTTATAAAGTCAGGTTTTGCAATAGACAAATTTGTATTATTAATATTGTTTCTAATCATTTCTATAACCTCTGGATCGTTAAACATAGCTAGAATAATTTTTCGAATTTGTGGGTCGATAATCGTACCTGATTTCTTTTGTATTTTTTGTAAAGAATGTTGAATCAGAGATTCGAGACTCTGTCTCTTCTTTGAACTAGACTTTTTAGATGATTTATCTGATTTACTCTTCTGCTTTACTTTTTTTTTGATTTAACAGTGTTGATAATTTTCACAATTTCAGTCTCAGTTAAATCATTCACAGAATCAGATTCCAATTCAGAATCAGAACTTGACCCAGAGTCAAAGTCGGAATTAGATTCATTATCAGAAAAGCTAGCATCGGACTCAGAATCTGAATCTTTAGTAGCTATATTAATCTTACCTTTTTTCTTGGATCTGCTTTTGCTAGAATATTTGGACTTGCTTTTCTTTTTATTTTTAGGGCAGTTGCGAGAATTATGACCTGTTTTACTACACTTTGAACATTTGTATTGAGAAGATTTTAAAACAGCGTGTATTATTCAAGCTAGTTTTGCTTGATTGATATCCAACTGTTCAAGCTGTAATCTCAAATTTTCAACCAGATCATAGTTATAAGCTTCTTCTGGTAAACCTGCATCATCAGTTAAACTTTCTAAAAAACGGTTCATAGCAAGATCATCTGCTTTTTGTTTCCCTGGTCCAGGGGGTTTTTTCAAAGTTTGCTGTCCTTTAGCAATAATTCCTTTTAAACCTGCTATAATTTTTTTGAAATCATTTTGTGAAAGCGTGATTTGATTAGACTGTTCTTCTTGAGGCTTAGAAGCAGTGGATTGTGTAGCTGGCATCATAGATTTTATCAAGTTTTTAACTTCAGTTTCAGTCAAACCCATATTGATACTTTTTTCATAGGGATTAGGCACTTGACCTCCAGAAGATAGAAATGGAAAGTTGCCTTGTAGTAGTGAAAATTTTTTTGCTTCAACTAATGCTTTTGTAATATTATCTCTAGTGTCATGGTATTTAGCCATCATGTAGACATTGTATTGATTCATAGGATTTAATCCCCGAATATACAGCTTTCTCATTTTTGATTCTGGTAATCCAGCAAGTTTTCCAAGTTTTGATATCTTGACATTATACTCGAGTATTGACATACCTCCTTGCGTAATCTGACCAAAGAAAAGCAAATTTTTTTGTGCTTCAACCGTAGGTAAAGATATTCAAGGCAGTATAAAAATTGTCCAAGAGTCATTTTGGGTGCAATAATTGAATTACCCGCACTAGCATTTGCATAATTGGTTGGAGATGAAGTTCCTACAAGTGCGGGATGTCCTCCAGCTATACTCCAATCTTCATCCCATGTATCCACTGGAATAATATTAGCACCAGTTATTGTATTATCACCTCCAGCATTATTTCTTACAACCAAGGCTTCTCCAAGAAACTGATTTGCATTAATACCTGTTAAAGCGCCATTATTTAATAAACAAATTGCATTTAAGATATTCACGCCAGTACCATCAAGAATATTATCATATTGCCAATTTCTACTTTTAATCTCGTTCTCATACCAGGTTTTTGCTTCACCAACCATACATGATATAGCTAAATTATATGCTTCTGCTCTATTAGAACTTCTTCTGCACCAGCTATAACATTTATTCGAGATGCAATTACAAATCTCTTGAATTCTAAGATCCAATCTGATGGATCTTCTTCAGCTTTTCCAGTAAAAAGAGGTGGTCCATTTCCTATCATATTCAATATTTGTGAATTTATAGGTGGATTATTATGTAGTAATAAAATTTGGACTTGTAAATTTAAAATTAATTAGTATTGTGCAAATTTTTCTGTCAATAATGTGACATTAAGTCTTCTTTGTGCTTGGATAGTTAATCACCCATATAATTCACGAGATCTCATAATAATGTTTTTATTTTTCCACTTTTGATATCTGGCTATAAGTTGGTCACACCAATATTCTAACATAGCCCTATTAGCATAACATTCTTGTAAACCTCTTTCAGCTTGATATGCTCTATTTCTATAAATAGTATATCGTTGATAAATCCATTGAAAATTATTTAAGGCTCTGTATCTGGCTCCAACATATGTTAAACCTAAAATACACAATCGCTCTTTTAACTCATTATATTCATTTTCCAGTTCTACAAAATTTTCAGATACTTTTACATAATCTATTGACTGGTCTTCAAAGTTTTGCTGAGTTTCCAATAATTCCCCTTGAATACCAATTATAGATTCTATTAATCTGTAATTTTCGGTACGATATAAATCTAACTGGTCTTGAAAAGTCTGGTTTTTTTCTATCAATTCATTGGAAAAATCCTGCTAATTTTGAATTATATCTACCTACTCATTTATAGTTTGTTGTTGAACAAATAGACGGGTTTCGTTTTCTTCAATAATACCTTCTCTTAGATGACTAATCTCATAATTATATTTATTTTCAATTTGAGCTATCCTCAATTTGGTTTGTGTTTGAAGATTATCAATTTCATCAGAAAGCAATGGGTCATCATTTCTTCTATAACAATCGGCTAAATATTTGAAATTATCTCAGACCTTAATTAATAATGTAAGAACTGTTTCAGAACTATCATCGATATTACTCGACATTTTAATATTTTAATGTAATTGTTGGATTCTATGTTGAAGTAAAGATATTTCATTACTCATTTCTAGTAATTGAGCCTCAAGAAAAATATTATTTTTATTTTTATTCTCAGCATCTTATAATGCCTTTTTAAGATGTTTCTTAAGATTTGTGTTTTCTGATTTGAGAATATCAATTTCATTATCCTGATCTGTAATTTGCTTTTCGAGATATAAGATATAATTTTCAGCTTGAGACAATTTATATTTCAATTTTCGAATCTGTGCTTCAAGAGAGGTTATCGAAATTTATTCTAATTTATAGTATAATCATAATATCAATATGAGCAAATTGAGCAAGCCTATTATTAAAATTGATCCAGATGAGGAATTGCAAATTGTTCTAGGCATACTTTTTTACCGACCTACTGGTTATTATTCTAATGCAAAAGCTTTAAGAGATGCATGTAAAAAAGAAGGATATAAATTCTCATATAAAAAAGTTTGTGAATGGTTACATAATCAGAATGAATGGCAAAAGTATACTTCGTTACCGAAAGATACTCCACAGGTAAGTTATGGAAAAATTCAAAAACCAAATTGTGTACATCAGTGCGACCTCTTATTTCTTACACATGATAAATATAAGAGGAAGACATGAAAAGCAGTATTACAAATTATAGACGTGTCTAGCAGATTCAAAACCAGTGTTCCTCTAATATCGAAGAATAGTTTTGAAGTTGCTAAAGCATTTAAGAAAATTTATGATAATCCCAATAACCCTCTTAAGTATCCAACACTTTTACAATGTGACGGTGGTAAAGAATTCATGAGTGAAACTGCTCAATTAATGGAAGCACATAATATCACAATTAGAGTAATTGGTGCTTATAGTCATCGTGGATTAGCTCTTGTAGAATGATTCAATAAGACATTAGCAGAAATGCTTTATAAAATCCAGTATGCTGTTGAATCAATATCTAAAAATTCCAAATTAATAAGAGAGTGGGTTAAGTATTTGCCAGAAGTTATCGATTACCTAAATAATTATCCGATATGTCTCATTCGAGCTCCAGGTTCATCAAAATGAGGTTTAGCTCCAGCAATAGCAATCAGATCAGAAAGAGTAGAATCTAGGCCATCTACAAAGTATAAGTGTCCTATTGGAAAGAATGAGAAAAATAAGTTAAAAAAGGGGGATAATGTTCGCTATCTGCTTGCTAATACAGAATGGGAAGGAGGTATGGAGAATCAGAAAAGGGTGACAGATCCCACATTCAGTCCAAGCATTCATAAAATTTGAAAAATTGTAATAATGAAGAACGAACCAATTTTATATTATCTTGGAAGTGATGACAATGAATATCCTCCAAAGCAAGGATTTGTGCAAGAGGAGCTCATGCACGTAGATCTAGAAAAACTTCAGTATCCATCTCAGAGTATATTGGAAGAAAAAACTTGTTCCAGATCTATTAATTTTGTTCATATTATTAATAAAATGGTTAAGGCTAAAGAATATATAAAGAAGTGTAATGGAAAATGTCTTGGTAAAACTGGCCAAATAAATGATTTCGATGTATACCTCTGGTCATGTGCAAATGGACTCCATCAATGGGAAGCGCCTTACAAGACCCAGAAGCATAAATTTGAGTGGTGCCCCCTATATTATCACACTAAAGAGTGTAGTTGTCGATATATATTTGAAGATTTGCTGGGTAAAAAATTCCCACCATGTTTGAATAAATTTTTGAAAGGCTTGCGTTTGGATGGTTATAACAAGGAATTAAAATTGGCTTTTGAATACCAAGAATCCCAGCATTATTCTGAGAATCCAATGTTTCATAGACAAGGGAAGATTGATTTGGATGAGCAGAGATAGAGAGATCAAAAAAAGTGGGATATATATAAAGAGCGAGGTATAGATCTCATTGAAATCCCGTATTCTGCTAATTTATTTCCATACATAAAATGCAAATTACAAAAGAAAGATTATTTTTCGGATAAAGAATAAACATTACTTATCTTGGCTAGAATGAAAGATAAAGGCATGCCCATATATGTATATAATATCAATGAGACATCTAAAAAATCATCAGAATGAATGAAAGGTAATAAGTATTCACCAGACTGCTTATTTAGGATGCTTATAAATGGAAGTTCAAATAGTGGAAAAACTAACATGGAAATAAATCTCATGCTTGGTAACAAACTACAATGCATATTCAATGGAAAAAAAGGTGAACAGTATATTAGAAATGATGATCTCAGATTAGTAGCCAAACATTTTGAACCAAAATGGCAACTTGTACAAAATAGTTACCAGATCTTTGCAAATGCTCCAAAACCATATCAAGAAGATGTTACATTTAAATGGATATTACCAAATAAGATCCCAGATATAACTAAATTCTTTCTGGAACGAAGTATGGTTATTGTTTTTGAGGATTTATGTGCTGAATTCAAAAAAATGCAAGAACGAATTATTTCTTACTTCATTGGTGGCCGGCATCAAAATGTCTCACCTATATATGTAAGCCAGAAATATACACAAACACCTAAAATTATTTGTGAAAAT